ACAGAAAAAGGACAAAATCTGACCTTTTCTGACCAGTTTTAGAATTATCTTGAGCTTTATCTGAACCAATAACACCACATGGTTATATAAACAATGCACTATAATTTGTGTTAAATATAACACCATATTCTTAATCTTGATATAGTATACAGAAAGGAAATAACTTTTGATAAATATGTCCTATAAAAACATATAATTCTAATCTAAGGGGAAGGACACAATATAAAGATTTGGTTTATAATATACAGCACAGTTCTGACTGCTTAAATAAATAAAAACAAATAAAAGTTTACATACATCCTTCTGTTGTAGATGCATCCTGTACTCTGCAGATTGACTTTTGATCTGGATCTCAGCCGCCTCCAGTTTTTCTTCCAGTTCAGCATGAAGCCTTTTCAACCGTTCATACTGTGACAAGACAAAAATTACATTAGAAAATAAAAAATACAAGAAACAAAACATACTAACTATGAGAATCTCCAAGAGTAAAAAGATCTAACCTCAGACTTCTGTGTGGCAAATGCACTTTCAACTTCAGCCAACTTGGAATTGGAGACCTGAAGCTCTGTGGCAGCATCTAAAGGAAAAAAAACAAATAAAAAATATTAATTAGATATCAACTAGTGTAGAGTGCAATGTCTGTGCTACTGTGGAACGCCTCGGGTGTGTTATAAATTAAAGGCATTGATATCAGGTACTCTTAGTAACTATTCCTAACGTATTCAATGAAATTCAATTACTGTGTCTAACTACAGAAAACTGTTTTTATTTAAATTACAGTTAATCTCTTTCCTTTAAGGGTAACACAAAGTATATTTAGCCAAAATAAATCAATGAGGCAGCTTCAAAATACAAAATTCTGTGCACTTTGACAATTCTTATCAATGGATTTATCAGTTTAAATATTTAATTACATGTAAATAGTTAGAGGTCAAATAAAATTACCAAATAATTTGAATGCCATCTGCAGCTAAAGCACACAGTACAGTATTTGGAATAGAATACAGTGACAGACTAAAAATATCCCATCTCAAACATTACTGACAACTGGTTAGAGCACATACAGATGGTGTAAAACTATGACCCTCTTAATACATAATAATACATATCTCCCAGTATTGAAGCAAGTCCAGGTGCCTCATTACACATTAATAACAGTACATGGAATTTAAAGCTCTTTATATAGCCATAGCACTATAAACTGCATTCTTCATTCACTCTGTCTAGACCGTCTGTGGTGGTAGCCCACTTTTAAGATAACACAGCTGCCCTAGGGAGTGACAAAATATGAGAAAGTGACTGAAGTATTTTGCCCAAGGACACTACAACAATTTGAACAGATTCAATTGCAATCAAACCACAGCTGGATAGATATAATGCAAAAAATTCTAACTGTGATCTGCCACTTTATTGTCATATAGTGATTTCGTGCTTTTCTCTTAATTTCAGCACTACTCACCAAGTATATGAATCATAATATAAACTAAATCTATTCTATACGCTCTAGAAAATCAATATACATTTTCTGGCATATCACTCACCCACACATACTTAACCTTAAACACTCTGGTTATAGAATGAAGCCTTAACCCCTCTTTCTTCTATAGTTCATTCACAGCCCTACTCCAATGACATCATCTTAAGCAGTCTCACATGACAAACAAAGATGCATATTTATACTGAACCACAAACTCTCTGGTTAGAGGATGAACACTTTACCACCTGGATCACCACTATCTCCCCCTCTATCACTCTGCTGCATAGAAACAGTGCCCCCCTCTTCCTTCTATATTTCGTTCACAGCCATACTCCCATAACATCAGCTTAAGCAGTCTCACATGACAAACAAACATGCATATTGAACCACAGACGCTCTGGTTATAGGGTGAAGCCTTACTACCTAAACCACTATTGCCCATTTATTGTTATATTCTATAGAATCATGGACTTCTATCTTGTTCACATCCTTTCTCCCATAATATCAGCTTAAGCAGTCTCACATGACAAACAAACATGCATGACCGAGCCAGCGAACAGTCAGTGCTACACAATCTTAGCAGCTGTCTGTTTCCATACACTGGCAACATGCAATTACTCCAGGCTAAACCCAGGACAGGAAATTCCAGTTTACTGTAAGGATTTTTCCTCAAATACTTTAAAATTGACATGTTTTTGCAGGTTTTGTGATAAGAAGAGGTTGCGGTTATTTGGGTTTTGTTGGCAGCTGTGAGTTGGAAATCTGTGGCCAAAGTTCTCTTGGAGTCAGCATTATCACACAGTGTCCAGACTGAGTGGGTTAATGCATCAAAACTGAGTTAAAATTCATATTGCATTAGATTAAAATATGAATCAAACCAAGCCCCACACCATAAATTAAAATATTGAATCTAACCAGGCACCACACTATAAATTTAAGTTAATAGTGCACTCAGAACAATAGCTACTGATATAAGTAACCTGATCTCTTCGCCTCTGTTGAGATAAAATCAGTTGTGTCCTGACAAGATCAAATGAACACAGATACTGAGAGATTTCAACAATGAAACTAAATGCCTGTAGTTTAGCATTGCCTAGCATTTCCTACGTTAAAGTTATGAGTAAATGCAAGAAAACATTGTAAATATGCCCACTACCTAGTAAAAAAATAATTATATGCTCTCCACTTTAAGAGATTTGAATAGCGACAAAAGACATCCAAATGACTCTTTGAATGAAACGGTTGAATGCAAATGGTTGTCAAGTGTAGGAACAAATTGTGCTGTTCATGTTTAGACATAAAAGCAGAAATACACACAACTGCAAGGTAAAAAAGGTGTCTAATTTTACTAGACTTTATATAATGATTCTATTTTAGTTACGGTAACATGTATGAACCTTTAATTAAATATAAATTATATTTATATCACTGTATGCATGACTGTATACTCTAAAGCAATGTCAATAACAATATGCCGAGGATACAATATATTTACTGAGTGATAATAATAAATGTATTTTACTTTTAAAAGCCCAGACACTACCATCAGTACTTCTACCAAATTAGGCCTGTCACAATAAAAAATTTTGAAGTATGATATATTGCTGAAATAAATATAGATGATAAACGATAATATTGAAACTAACGTATGCCACTGATACAATAACCCAAGAGCAGATCTAAACCTCAAAAAATATTCTAAATGTACAAAACACGAGCTGCAATAAATAAATAAACAGAATGAAACACTTTAGTTTGTATCTATAATGAGTCATAGAAGTTAGTCATTCAAACGTTTACAGTTTAAATCTTATCATAGTTAAAAAAAATAACCAAAAATGTCCCAGTAGTGCAAAGAAAATGTACACACAATAAATATACTCACCCCAAAAATATTGTTCCAGCTTTCACATATTGAAGTCAATATTGTCATTATCGTGAGAAAAACACACACAATTAAAGCACTATATTATGGGTATTTGGTAACCATTTCAACAATGCCACTCTATTAGACCATAAAAACAAAATAAGAGACATCACCCACCTCCAACTTCCTCCACTCCTTCCAGCAGCATGTCCTTGGTGAAGTTTGATATTTGTCCGGTGAAATTGGACAGGCTTCCCCCGACCTGTCCCAAAGACTGACCGAGGCCAGAGCCCAGTCCACCCAGCCACGATGACATGGTGAGTTTGGTGAAAAATAAACAAAGCAAAAGATCAAAACTGACAGGGGGCTAGCTTTGTTTTGAGTCACCGTATGGCCAAACTAGCGCTGTCATTAATCCAATAAACACGTAAGAGCCTAAATGAAAGCGATACAGTTGTGATCCGCAGCGTTGAGCCGTTATAAAAGTAGATTTTTAAAGCTCATTTAGGTGCGGCTAATAACAGCTGACCCGGCTGCCATAAGGAATGTGTCAAAACTAGCAAGCTAACCGAGCTAGCATCTTCGTTAAACAGATAAAACGTGGGTCTAAATTCGTTGTTAAAAATCCGTGTGCTCAGCGGAGTCCGTCAGCGGTGTTTCCATGAGTTTTTAGCCCGTCTGAAGATCACTTCGCTCGGAAAGTGCCACCTCGACTGCAGCCATTATCGGCTCGGAGCAGAGTGTTCAGCTTTGACGTGGACACAGCGGCACGGGCCCGGTGCATTGTGGGATACGCTGGAGGACCAACAACACCAAAACAGCAACGACCACGCGGCCAGCTACAACCATGTTATCTATTAAAACAACTACAACACAAAGTTTGGATACGCCATCTCATTCAGTGTTCGTTTTCCTTTATTTTTACTATTTTCTACATTTTATATACATACAGAAGACACCAAATGTATAACTACGATATATGGACTTATGTAGCAAAGAAAAAAGTTAAATCATTCTACTCTATATTTTTAGACAAAACAAAGGGTTGGTAGTTTGAGGATTTGATAAAATATATATATGTAAAATGAGTAGAATTATTATAACTTTTTTCTTTGCTACATAATTCCATATATCTTACTTCATATATTTGATGGCTTCTGTATGTATATTAAATGTGGAAAGTAGCAAAAAGAAAGAAAAACCTGAAAAAAACTGAGATGAATGAATGAGATGTGTGCAAACTTTTGTCTGGTAGTGTCATGTAAATTACATACACATAGATACAGCATTTCTCAAAGATTTCTGGGGTTATTGATGATCTTGAATATCTTATGTGAATTAAAAATATAATATAATTAAAGCTCAATAAAGCAGAGTTTATGATCTGCTTCTGTAAATAAAAATAAATGCATCCCCCTTTACTTTATTCTCTTGAAATAAATGCATAACCTGCTGTTCGTACTGACTTGTCTGACATGTCAGTTTTTTGTTGATGTTCTTTTAATGTAGATTTAGCTTATGGTTTGGCAAACTATGCCAATCGCCATTAAGCCCACCTGCCCACCAAATATTGTTTTAACCCATTTTTAATAACAGCTGCATTTCCTGTAAAATGTAAATAGGTAAATAATAATTACACAGACACTACAACAACCATAAATGTCCCAGGTCACTTTAAGTTTATTAAAAGACTTGATTTTACATTATGTTAAATACAATCTCAGAAAAAAATGTCTGGAAATGAGAGGGAAAAAAAGTAGCTTAAGTTCTACTTAAATATGCCCTTTGATAAAACATCTGCCCATATTAATCTATTCTTCTTCTATGAATAATTATTTATTTTGAACATAGTTGTCATCTATATTTTATGTAGGTGAAATGGTAGAAAAGAAATGTCATTTCTATCCATTCTCTGTGCAAATCCAGGAGCATTGGGTCCCAGAGCCCGAATATCTGCAGCATGAACCGTCCTTCAACCAAAAAGGCATAAAAAGAAATTTTGTATGCCTATTTGCAATTATCTATCGTCCATCTGGTAAACTTTGGTGAATTTCTGGTGAGTATGTGAGAAGAACGATCATGACCCAGAGGTGTAGAGCAGCCTATTAAAGACACATGTATGTTAAATGATGTTATAGGTAATAAGTATGTAACAACATCTTCACGCAATTACTTACCATGTAGAGGATGACAAAAACTCTGGCCATTGGGTAACGTCTCAAGAATATTCCCAATCTGATGCTGAAAAAGATAAAATATTTAAAATTCAGATATTGCGTTAACTCCAGTATATTCATGTTGAAATTGCTTGCTAACAAATTCGTCGTAATTCGTCGTAATTCTAATAAATAAATAGATTAATTAATTAATTAAATATTTGTAGTGATGGTTACTACCCACTATAAATTATACAAAAAGAACAGGTTGATTAAAAAAACACATGACATTTTGATATAATTTTTTTCTTTTAATGTGAACACACTGAAACAATATGTGAATATGCACACACAATACTGTAGATCTTACCTAAAGCGGTCAATAGTACTTGCTGCTTTGCGTACTTTCCCATAAACCCCAGGGCTGTCTTGGTCACTGAATAGAACAGGTGTATTTCTCTGCCTGGCACCTTGAAAATAAATAAAGAATGAATTTATCCAAGATTATATCCATATTCTTTCCATTATATCAGTGGATTCCGTACTGTCAGGACAATCTACCTGGCCCCTCTAAAGTGCTCATGTTGATGGTGGCTCCTCCGCTCTGTCCTCCCTGTGATGCCTTCATCTGCTGCTCAAGTCGCTCCAACTGAAACACTAAAGAGTTTTTCTCTGTCCCCAAAGCCTCCAGCATCGTCTGTTTCTGAATCAACGTCTCTGTCAACTGGTGCAGCCGATTCTCCAACTCTGTTTGGCTACTGCTTATGGTCTTGTTGGTGAGCTGAGAACAGGTTATAGGTAAAATAGGTAAAAAAATAAAAATAAATAGGATGTTTATGGTAATAATTATGACAGACCTGGTTCCTGAGTTTTTGAATTTCATCTTCTCTGTCTTTGATGCGGCTCTGTAGAGAGGATTTGACACGATGCTGTTCCTCTTCTAAGTACTGGACCTCCTGCAAATATATATTAAGATATTTCAAAGTCTTCTTATTAGACATATTTTATGTTCCTCTTCTCTCACTTGTTTGTATCTCTCAATTTCGGCCTCCAGCTCCTGCTTTGCTCTGTTCTGTGCTGCCTGCTGCTCCTGTAAATTCACTTGCTGCTCCCGCCAACTTTCAGCTTCAGCCATGGCTTGGTTTTCCATATCCTTTTGAAGAGAAATAAATCTATGACATAACAACTTTCTTACATTTTATTTTCAGTCACAGAATTGTACCTGCACTTCTGTCCTAAGAGTCAGAATCTGCCCTTGTAGTTTTTGTATCTCTTCTCTTTGTAAGTCTTTTTCGTGCCGCAGGTCCTCCAGCTCCAGAGCCATGGCTCCACTGCCGTCCAGAGAGTCCAGACCAGAGCCCTCCTTCAGACTGCTGATCAGCTTCTCTTTGGACTGTCAATATTTATATATGACATTGTCAAACACATTCTGTCATATTACATTATAATAGTCAGGTGTACTGAGCCACACCTGCAGGATGCGTGCAGCTTTCTGTTTGTACTCCTGGAGCTCCTGCTTCGCGCTCTCTGCTGCAGCTTTGACACTTTTCAGCTGCTGCTGAAAATCGTCGGCCCGGACTTTCTCTTCTGAAGTGCGCCGCTCTGATAAAGTCACAGTCTCTGCCAGAGTCTGTCTCTCTGTCTCCAGCTTAGACAGTCGGGCAGCATATTCACTCTATGGTCCAAATAATCAGTTTTACTCATTTTGAGAATATATAAGAGCATATGAAATACTGTCTCTAATGAGATATTTACCTGCATCTGGTGAAAGCTGTCCTGTTCCCTTCGCAGAGTCAGTTCAGCCTCTCTGAGCCTCTCCTGCATAGTCTCAAGAGCCTGGGAATGCATGCTGCTTCCCTCTGTGTGGTCTTGCATAATTCTAATGACACATTAAATATAAGAAGATTTACTAATTAAAGGCCACTGGTTACTTCAAACATAATAATTACAATAAAAAACACACCTGGATTTCTCTTTCTGTGCCTCCTCCAGGGCTGCACTACGAGACTTGAGAAGTTGATCAGCTTCATCAAGTCTGACTTTCAAAACTGCGAGTTGCCCGTCTTTGGCAGAAAGTGCTTCTGTGAGATCATCAACCTGCGACCGAAGTTCTCGTAAAGTGCGATCTGTCACTGACTGTTCCGAGTTCCATTTGTCAGCACGGAGACGGGACTGGTTCAGTTCTAAGGCAGAAATATAATACAAGTTAAGCAAAATATACCACTTGCTTTACCATTTAACGAGGCCTGACTCTTACCATCTTGCAGGTCTTTTGCTCTCTGAATGACTGAAGCCATCTCCTGGTTGAGAGAGGCCACTTCAGTGCGTAAGAGCTGGTTCTCGAGGCGAAGGCTAGACAGGACGTGCCCCTGGGGTTCCTCTGTGGGCAGAGCCTCAGGGCGACTTGGCTCTTGAGGGGGAGGAGCCAAACCAGAGTCTGAACTTTCAGGAGTGTCTGTCAGCCACACAGATGGGCGGTCATTCATGACTATTTTATACATCAGTTAAACAGTGGCTTACATTACAATTCTTATCTAGAGTAATATTATTATCTATTGTCTATTGCCTATTGTCTATTATCTAATGTAATATTATTATTTACCCATAAATCTATTGTTAATATAGTGTAAAAAAAAAAAAAAACTCTTTAAAATAAACAAGATGTACCTTGACCTGGCTCTTTGGCTGAACTTTCCTCTGATGTTTTGATGCTCAGAGCAGACAGAGAACTAAGACTCGAGGCCCGGGACACACCACGAGTGGAGGGGGGCGTGGAGGGGGCTGAGGAGACAGTGAGGGGTGCTACCAATGGGGGAGGAGTGGGGCTTAGTGTTTCTGTCACAGTAACTTTAATTTCACGTTTTGAATCTCTTCTGTTTCCAACTGGAGGATCTGAACTGTTTAGAAAGTCAAAAAGCATATCATCGTTCACATCCTGGTCGCTCTTTTTGGGCCGTACAAAACCAGTGGGAGACTTGGCAGTGCTGGCACCACCACTCGCTGCACTGGGCACGTTCGCGGTCCCAGCCAAAAGTGTTGTATTTGATTTTTTGATATTTCCGGCTGCAGTGGAGATAAAGCTTTGAGCATTTTGAGGTGAAGTATAATGTGCTGGAGTTATTTCAGGCTTGAACTCTGGTTTGTCTCCTGTTCCTTCTTCATATGGAGAGGAGAAAGAGGATGTTCTCTGTTGACTTTTGCTCAAAGCTGTGGCAGCACCTTGGTCCACTTTATTCAGAAAGTCCTCAGCTCTCCCTGCCAGATCAGTAAACCAAGACATTTTGCATCCTGGAAAGAAAGACAAAAAGGTTTAAGGGTATTAAATAGCACAAAATAATTATAAAATACAAGAAGAATAATAAGAATAGTTACAGAAATAAACTTGTAGTGAACTCTTCACACAAAACTGTATCCAAAACATTCGTGCAATACAGTAAAAGCAACACGGACACAAAGCTTTTAAAAATGTTATTATAATTTTCATTAAGCGTCATACTATTTTCCTTATATTAGCCACTTATTTGACGTTTAAATTGTCTATTACGATGTATGTATGAAATAAGGGCTACAGATCTCACGACATAGTTCCTTACATTTAATTTGTTATAGTTTTCTACAATTTGTGATTCCAGTACAATATATACAGTCCAATATCACCAACAGTTCCTTAGCAAATATTAAAATAAGCCAGGGTAAACAGAGCTGGGTTCAATGCTAAAGTGACAAAGCTAATTGCTAACAGGCTAGTTGATGAAAAACACTAACTTACCGACGAAAAAAACATTAAAATATCAACTTGACTCAAGTCATCCGGTTGTCATTGAAGCATTATTCAAGAAAATTAAGACGAAACACGCTTAAAATTAATGAATATAGCTGTCAAAGCCTGAGAAGTGAGGATAATTTTGTGATCTTCTCAATACGTGGACCAGGAAGGACTGAGAGGACCCAAACAGAGCGTCCACAAAAGTGCCGGTACAAAATGATTATATTTTTGTTCTGTGCACTACAACTCGTTTTATCAAAAATATTAATTACAGTATATTAACTGCTCACTATTTTACTCACCATACTGATTATGGTCATTTTAACTCAGTTGTAATTATGTTATGTAAATGATATGAGTCCTTATCCAAGTTTATATTTATTACTTTACAAAACATATTCTTAAAACTATTTGACACAAAAGACAGCAATTGAGACAGTATGTATGAAACAGTGCCTTTTTATTTTTTCCGCACTCACTCCAAAATGCATATTTACATGGCATGCCACATCAATACAGGAACTGACTATAGATACATTAACACATAGAATCTGCTCTGGTAAGTTTTAGGGAAGGAAACTTGTCCCATTAAAAACCAACCGAAGAAAAAACCCCAAAACGAAACGAACCAGCCATAGAATAAAATGTCTTCTCTTAAACTGGATTCTTTCAATAGACTTAAAATGTAAAAAATGTCCTGTGCTGCTCAATGTCCAAGTCCCATTATTTTCACATTTGTCATGGAAAGCTGGCGTCACGGTTGATTCAGTTGAAAATAAACATTGAAAATATTATTTAGGTTCCAAAATGAGGATGGAAGATCACATTTTGGAGGTATAGTGACACAAAAAAAAATCAACTCTTGATAGAAATTCCATAATATGTCCAAGTGAAAAATGCCGAAACACTTCAACTACTGTATATAAGCCGTCTATCATAGTGTCTTTGTCCATTCCAGGTTTTTGAGGGAACACACAAAAATGGACTTGAAACAAAACAAAAAAAAGCATGTCCTTAAAAATAATGGAGCAGAGCTTAATACATAAAAATACATCTTGATACATCAGATTGCGTGATAATGTAAAAAGAAAAAACAAAAGTGGACAAATCTTTCCGAGACAGATCCTTTGAGCCTTTCAGTTTACTCTGTGTTAGGTTGAACAGTCGGAAACACTTCCTCCAGCAACATTCAATCAGTTTTCATTTCATTCATTCATTTATTCATTCATACATAGTCTCATTCACGCGCTCAGTCAACCAGTTGCACATGCATTGTCATTCGGGACAGCTGCGTTAGATCAGACCCCTCCTTTTCTTATAGTCCTCCAGGTTCAGAGAGCGGCGGGGGGCTCCATCTTTCACTGGTAAAGCGTTTGAGCTCACGGACAAAGACTTGGCCTCTGTAACAACAAATTAGACAGTAATTAATGGTCTACAATGGTTACCCAACCAGCCAGAACCAAACGCTTTGACAAAACTTTACAAAGACAAGTGGATCTGTAGGCGTAACTGGTCTCCCTGATTTCAGAGGACGTAATGAACAGGTGGAAAAAACAATCAGAGGGACGCATGATCTGTTCACGTCAAAAACAAAAATGGCTGCTTACAGTCAAAAAAAAGGAGAAACAAAACAACGACATAAGTGACTGAGAAATTTTCTCTGGATTTTCTCAGAGTCAACAATCGAAGTGCCCAACTATTCCTTATCTCAGATAAAAGAAGTTATATATTTTGCTCTGAATGTCACAAGAATTTTCAAGAGGACATGTCCATATTTGAGAGACGTGCTACAAATTAGCACCTGAGATTGGACCGTCTCAAGTTTGGACAGAGGTTTGTCGTGCTCTACAGTCTGAATCTAGACTCTTCTGAATTCTAACAGAATGTAGAGAGGACCGGCTGTGCTGACAGGCAGCTACAGTGGAATGGTAATCACTCAAAATGTTTCCAGAAGAAAAATCCAAAGCAGATTGGATCAGATCCATAGTAATTTAAGGATTCGGGGTGGGTGATATTGAAATCTTACATTTTCTTTCTAGAATTATCTCAATATATTTGGTGGACCAGAATCAGAAATGTGCTAGAATGTGCCCACATGACTGGACCATGGATTTACGGTCAGTCTACTTCTTTTAATTACTGGCAATATACTGAATAGTTTTGCATATCTACAAAACAACAACTGCAATATTACAAATTTTTCAATATATCTCTTACTTCTCCCAAGGAGACGAGTACCTTTACCAAAAGCATAAACTCACCTGCATTAGGAACTTGTAGGTCAATTTTAACGTCAAAATCGTGTACTTTAAACAGGTCTTCTGAGAGGTCTGTGGTGGGTTTGGGGACATCTTTATCTTTAGGGTTTGTCTTCTCACCCTGGGGAAAAAAATGTAATACACTCAACAAAGCAATCTCAATCTCTCAATTTTTAAGGCTTGAGACTAGAACAAATGTACACTTAATTCTAACTTAAAAGGTGCACATTGTAACCTTGATGTGTCTATGAAGATTGGTAGGGACACTGCTTTCCCTCGAATGTACCACAGGATAGCATTACGCTCATTATTTAATTATAGGCATTTTTACAATAAAACAATACCTTGAAAAGTATGCATTCAATTACAAGTGGACCCACCTCTCCACAGACCTATTATATCATTCTGTGAAAAATTCCAGGCAAAGCAATAACATCTACATGGTGGTGGGCCCTCTACCCAAAAAGTCACACAGTGCATCTTTAATTATAGATTGCCCAACTTAAAATTCTTTACATACTGATAAAATAAAAAAGTCCTCGTTACTGTCTATTGCTTAGTCAGGCTAATAATCATGTTATACAAAGTTAGCTTCTTATAACATTGGTAGATTTTTGAAGTTTTACCGGATTGTTCTTCTCTGTGTTTGGTACATCTGGTGTCGATCCAGACCCATACTTCTGATTAAGATGAGCAAGAATAGCAGCGTGTACTGAAGGATCTCTAGCCTACAACACCAAAACAGAGGATATAAAATTAATTTATGGAACAATACAGTGGAGGTGAAAACTTACAAAACATGGCATTATCTTACATTGGACACCATTGTGGGTTTGCATTGTCTTCTCGTGAAAGGATCCATCTGCTGGTTTTTGCTGTTCTGTCCTTCCAACTAAAAACATAACAATAATACAATGCAATTAGGTATTTTTGATTTGATATTGATTATTTAAAAGAGAACGTGTATAAAGCTTACCACGAGAGCCTTTTCAGATTCAACAATATTCCAGCTTCTGTTTCGCTGATTGATATAGCTAAGGAAAAAATTAAATAATGAAAAAATTATATCAGATATAAATGGCAGAACAATTAACTTTAACAATAAAATTAGATACAGTTAGAACCATAGACTGCATATATAAATGGATATAGCTAACCCACTAGCTGCCGTGTTCCAGATAGGAAGTGAACATGGGGGTCCTTCCGGGCTCCATCGACCGTTTCCAGTTGACTTTGCATTGAAAAATTATCATCCCTCTCTCTATAACTGCTGCAGTGAGCCTTGTTATTTTGGTTTTAAAATGTTCGTATACACTTGCTCTACATGATCCTGGTGTCTTTATTTCACTATTTTGTCCATAAATAAATTCCTATTCCCAAAATGGAACTTGACTCCAAATTAATTCCTATAACTGCTAGCCTCAGGAGCTTCATTTGACCGGAGCCGACGTCACACTCCGTTAGTCCACTTCTTACATACAGTCTATGGTTACAACACTAGTAATCTGTAATATGTACAAGTTATGAAGTGACTTGTACGTCACAGACCTGATAGCAGAGATGTTCTTGGTTCGTTGTCTATCGAGGGCCTCGGCTCTTTCTTCCAGCTCGTTCAGTTCATCCTGGATCACTTTCACTTTGTCACCATCGCCACTCTCCTCTGCCATGGCCTGGTATCAACATAATGACAAGTGAATATGCATTATTTCCTACAAAATCCCATTCAAACATCGCAAGTTAATCTTTTAAACAGTATTGTGATGTTTACCTTATCTTTCAGTAACTGCGTTTTCTTCATGGCATAATTTGGAGGCGCTTTTCTAAATCTGTCCTTCTCTTTTACAATCTACAAAACATGAAAATGTTGTAATGCTTAATAATAGTAGTAAAAGTAACCCAGTTTAGTCTCAAGTTAAATCCTTTGAAATCATCCTTACATCCTCTATGTCTTTGTCATTAAATTTATAATTCAGGGCTTCTTTGATAGACTGCTCTTTTTTGGTGATTTCGTCCAGTGTTGGTACTTGCATCCCAGCAGCCATCATCTTCAAAAACAAAAATGTTAATTTGAGTAATTTCACAATAACAGTATATTTCATTTACAGTTAGTGTACTTACAGCCTCTTTCCACTTCATGAACTCGTTCTCTGTAAATTCCTGATTTGATACAAACTCGAGTCTGAACACCCGTGTGTCACCGCCATGTCTGAAAGAGACACATTCGGAATGATATAAGACTACATAATATGCATAATATATAACAAGCAACAAAAAATATACACTTTTTACTTCAATATGATCTTTTATCTTATTTTTATGTATATGAATTGTCAGGATGGGTAACTTTTTTGTAATTTTGATGGAGAGTGTTAATGTGGTTGTTTTTTCTTTTTGTGAGTGTGTGCCACTTTGTTACAAAAGAAGATGGTGCAAAATACCTTTTTTTTTTTTTACTAATTGTGATGTAATGTAAATTTTGTATGATTTGTATGCAATGTAGAAGTAACATAAACAAATTTAGAAAAATGAAAGAAAAAGAAAAGAAGCACCAAATATGTAATATATTAATATATAATACATATATGAAATATGACCAAAACTGTGTTAATTGGATTTTTAGTCCCATAATTTAAAGCGGGCACCCACCTCAACTGTAGACCCTTATTTGTTCGCGTCGTGCCAAGTTGGTACACCTTTGCCGTTTCCACCACATCCACAATTTCTGCCACCTTCAGACAGCAAAGATTGTCAATTAAACATCAACCAAATTTAATAAAAGTCCATCTACTTGTATGGGTAGACCTGTCATGATTATCACTATGACTTGCACATTTTCAGACTCAGTATTTATCGTGGATACATTTTCTTTGCAACAGTGGGGAGATTTGGGGTATATTAGTTGCAATACGATACGGTAGAGGGGAGAATGACTAACTTTTATGAGTAATTATCAGTTCATTCTGCTATTTATTTGTTGCAGCTCGGCCTTTTAATGAGACCATCTATTTCAAAATTGGTTTACTGGTATTATCTTACATTACTGTTATTTTGTCAGTGGCATATATATAATATCATACAGTATATATCTGTATCAATATATCATGCTTCAAAACTTGTTATTGTGACATGCCTATATGCTAGTAAAATGAATTTGTGATCTCACCCTGTAGACTGGTTTACTGCTGCTGTTGCCGATGCCTATCCGCACAAAGCAGCCCGTGACTGTTTTGGCAAAGAATGGCATATGGCACCATCGCTCCAGTTTGTGTCTCGACAATCGAATCCTGTTCAGTTCGTCTGGGAGGGAAACTGGCTGCGACTTTGGTGGAGTCTCCTCTTTCCTGTGGACAAAACAAAGTTATAATCAAGCCAAATATAACTTTTACAAGAGCCTGGTACAATACTGACATAGAATCTTCCAAGTTTTATCCACATTATTAAGAAGATTGTACATAGCTTAAAGGGCTCATATTACGCTATTTTCTCATCTATGTTATAATGTTATTTCTTCATCAAAAACATACCTGGAGTTGTGTTTTATTTCATTCACGTTTAACACCAAGCCCTGCACATTTAGGTTGAATGCTTCTCTCAAAAGTAAAAACACTCACATGTAATGTCATGTGGTAATATGACCAAAACTGTTAATTTGATCTTTAGTTCCACTGTGTTTTAAAGTTCCATACATTTTCATTAAAATCATTTTGATTATTTCAGTACTGGAATTGCTCATCTCCACCAAACAAAAAAAGTACCTGTTAATTTGAAAACTACTTCTCGATGACATCACAAGGTGAAATAGAACATTTTGAGCTGCATAGATGTTGATGGACTAATAATTATTCAAATGTGTAACATGGCCAAAAGCTCACATGAAGCCATTTTTCTTAATACAGGACTTTTAATACTGGTGCTCCTCTAATTTATAGATTAGAAAAGCATAACAGATTGGTCCTTCTTACATAATGTAGTCCATTTAGGACAACAAACTTGCTTTTTTTTATCCTTTATATTTCTTTATTCAGATAACAGGTCAGCACTGATTTCTGAGTTCTTACATTTCAAATCTCAAAAGAAGTTTATTAATTGTGTGAATAGTTTGTACATCAGATTGTTAAATAAAGATATATATTAATTAGAAAATAACAGTTCTTACTCGTCGTCAGAAAAGGATGAGGATCGTGAGCTGCGGTCACTTTTCACAGAGGATTTATCATCATCTTCCTCTTCCTCCTCTTCATCATCTGAGTACACTTCACTCGTCTTTAGAGGCTCACGTTTCGCCAGCAGTTCAGCTGCTCAGAGTCAGCCCACACATCAAAGAAAGCTTATCACAATATTTATGCACAAAAACCAAGCAGCTCCAGTTACACACCTGTTTTGTTCTTCTTCTTCTCTCGTTCGGCCTTTAGCTCCTCCATGGCTTGAGATTTTTTGTCCAATTTTTCATCCCGTTTGGATCGCCTTTCTTTATTGTGTGACATTACCTGTACAAAACAAAATATAGTATAATATACATTGTGGTGCTAGCTGCACTCCATAAGCATTTCTTTTCTATGATGCTTATAAAGACTTTTTACAGCAATTTTTAATAATATCGTAATGATTATTTCAGACGTACCACTGGTTCTTGAACCTGAGATAGTTTTCGTTTTTCTTGTTCTTCCTCCTGCTTCTTTTTCTTCTCCTCTTTCTCCTTTTTCTTTGCCGTCTTTAGCTTCTTTTTGATTTCAAACCTGGACAAAAATATGCACAATATGCACGATATATAAATCGATGTATTAATAACTTATATCAGACAAATATAACTAATATAAAATAAAGACCAAAATTTGTATGACAACAGCAAAGAAATATTTTAAAATAAATTATGCAAATCCAGATTTAACAGTGATTACATCATTTTTTTTGTTTTTTATTGGTGTTGTCACAAACTGGATTTCAAAACTAAAGTACGCCTCGATACCGATTTTGACACCACAATGATAATACAAACACAATTACAACAGAAGGTAAATTTCAACACAAAACAATAGTAGTTTCTGTAATGTTCTGTGGCCTTATACTAGTTCTGATAAGAAAAGACGGTTTGAAACTACTCAGGAAACGACTCTGGTTTCGTCCTATTTACATTTTTTTTCAGTATCGATAAAGTATCAAGTTTTAATACTAGCTTTAAGGTGCAATATGCAACTTTTCTGGTGGAGGATCTGCCATTTGCTTCTCCATGAAGTTATTACTTTGACTAGAATGTTCCACGGTATGGCATTTAAAACTTGTATATCTCCATGAAAACAAGTAAGTAACACCACTGTGCCAAGTAACAGGTCAGATCTGTGAAGCAACAACCAAACTGACAGTAAACATATATGTTTTTCCATCTATTTTGAGCAATAAAACACCCAAATAAATAGATAAGTTTAATGCCATACTGCGAAACATTCTACACAGAGCAATAACATCTCAATGAACAAATGTAGGTGGCGAACCCTCCATTAGAAAAGCAACACAGTGAACCTTTTATTATCAATTAGTATGTGGGATTTTTTTTTTTACTATACGAACTTGGGGCCTTCATAGATTTAATCACTAAACAACTGTACATGTTTGTATATCACAATATACCACTCTGTCACAATATGTTGAGTCTGGACTTTGCATATACTCACCGCCTCTTTAGCACTTCTCGTTTCTCGATACGGTTGAACAGCTCCTGCTCTCTCTCCTTCTCTGTCATCTGCTCGAGTCTGGCCCTGTCCTCTGCATCACCCATCAGGTCATCGTCGTAACCGTCCCGGAAAACATCATCCTCCGAAGAGTCCGAGTCTGAGCTGGAGGATGAACTGTTGCTTTCTGAATCAGACACCTCACCTATAGAAGAGAGGTGCACAAATATTTAGTTAGTACAAAATCAAAAGTATTATGAGAAATGTATTATTATTTGAACTTATAAGACACTAGATAAGTTACATGTTCTGGTAAATGTAATTTTCCATAGCAAAGAAATGTGGGACATTTTCATTAAAATTCAAGCCCCAGTTGAGTGCCCTTAAGAGTGGAAAGTGATATAGCAATTACTTTTGTAAAAGACAAAACAGTTCTCTGCAAGATAAACAATAAACAAACTTCTAACACCTCCCCCCATATTTTGACATCAATTTTACTGTCGCTGTGGATATGACCGCCTCCATTTGTCCCGGCTTAGCACTGACACAAATATATATAAACTATTTAAACATACCTTCTTCTGGCGCTGAGCTTTCAGCTGAACTGTCTCCATCTGAGCTGCCGGACGCCGTGGCTTTGTGAACCTTTTTCTTTGTGGTGGTCTTCTTTTCAGACCCTTTACCTGGTTTGACTTTCTTTTTACCTTTGGTGCCTCCCACCGTCCACTGAGAAACAAAGAGACATATGTTATTGCAGAACGTTCACAAAACATTTCATGCATTCAAAAAGTAGGATATAGCATTAGTTGTATTTTATGACATTTTTCACCACTTCTTATTTCTTACTTTTAATGGGATCAGTTGCATTTATGAGAAATTATTGGGTGGATAGTTTGTTATAATTAAGTAAAAACATTAGGTAAAAAAAATTTTTTTTGCTATGTATAGATATGACTACACTTGTCATAGACTACGTGAGAGGGATATATCATTACTGTATTGTCTAACTAAAATTACAAAATTTCAGACCATCTTGCTGTCATACCTCATCGTCACTGTCCGATGTCTCAGAGTCAGTAGAGGCTGCAGGTTTGCTAACTGGCTCATCCTGGTCTCCTGAATCCACCCTCTTTCTTTTGGCCAAAGTCAACAGCTCCTGATGAAAAACAAAACAGAGTCATATTTAGACAATTAATAATAGAAGAGAGGATGTTGATATAATGCAAATGTGGACTGAATTGGCATTAAAACCGCAGAAGACTTTAAGGATATGTTTTGGGGCACAATAAGTAGCACTTACTGAAGTAATACTTCAGGTTTTTGTTTCACAAAATATTTTACACTACATTTCTCCCTGTGTGTACTTCAAATATTTTAAAGTTGTTGTTTCTATGGCGATATTATAGCCCTGAGTGGAGTGTTCCACAGTATGCATTAAATGTATCTATCTCCATGGACAGATGCAGCTGACACCTGGCAAAATTACAGGTCAGATCTGTGGGGAGGCGATCCACTCGTAGTACATGTTTTTCAAGGAGGTAATTAATAAATGTATGATAGCCAAAGGTTGAACATTTCCAGTGATGCAACAAAATCTCCATGGAGACAATTAAGGTAAGTGGGACACCCTCCAGAAAAGTTGCACAGTGCACCTTTAAGTAAGGCTTAAACCTGGAATGTTAAAAACTAAATTACAGCCATGAAAACCATATGTGCACATAAGACACATTCCTTTTGGTTTGGTCTGTAAAAGTGTATAAAAATATAGACATTTCAAGCACAACAATTGTATAGGCTTGCTATTACAGACAAATAGATCTAGTTGATTACATTTATATGCATACAATACAACGGTACGTGACGCAAAGACTACTTTTTTAAGTG